CTGTCCATCCAGAGCCGCCATTTATAGACCGGATACATCCTAAATATAGAACCATTTATCCAACTGTCCATCCAGAGCCGCCATTTATAGACCGGATACATCCTAAATATAGAACCATTTATCCAACTGTCCATCCAGAGCCGCCATTTATAGACCGGATACATCCTAAATATAGAACCATTTATCCAACTGTCCATCCAGAGCCGCCATTTATAGACCGGATACATCCTAAATATAGAACCATTTATCCAACTGTCCATCCAGAGCCGCCATTTATAGACCGGATACATCCTAAATATAGAACCATTTATCCAACTGTCCATCCAGAGCCGCCATTTATAGACCGGATACATCCTAAATATAGAACCATTTATCCAACTGTCCATCCAGAGCCGCCATTTATAGACCGGATACATCCTAAATATAGAACCATTTATCCAACTGTCCATCCAGAGCCGCCATTTATAGACCGGATACATCCTAAATATAGAACCATTTATCCAACTGTCCATCCAGAGCCGCCATTTATAGACCGGATACATCCTAAATATAGAACCATTTATCCAACTGTCCATCCAGAGCCGCCATTTATAGACCGGATACATCCTAAATATAGAACCATTTATCCAACTGTCCATCCAGAGCCGCCATTTATAGACCGGATACATCCTAAATATAGAACCATTTATCCAACTGTCCATCCAGAGCCGCCATTTATAGACCGGATACATCCTAAATATAGAACCATTTATCCAACTGTCCATCCAGAGCCGCCATTTATAGACCGGATACATCCTAAATATAGAACCATTTATCCAACTGTCCATCCAGAGCCGCCATTTATAGACCGGATACATCCTAAATATAGAACCATTTATCCAACTGTCCATCCAGAGCCGCCATTTATAGACCGGATACATCCTAAATATAGAACCATTTATCCAACTGTCCATCCAGAGCCGCCATTTATAGACCGGATACATCCTAAATATAGAACCATTTATCCAACTGTCCATCCAGAGCCGCCATTTATAGACCGGATACATCCTAAATATAGAACCATTTATCCAACTGTCCATCCAGAGCCGCCATTTATAGACCGGATACATCCTAAATATAGAACCATTTATCCAACTGTCCATCCAGAGCCGCCATTTATAGACCGGATACATCCTAAATATAGAACCATTTATCCAACTGTCCATCCAGAGCCGCCATTTATAGACCGGATACATCCTAAATATAGAACCATTTATCCAACTGTCCATCCAGAGCCGCCATTTATAGACCGGATACATCCTAAATTTGGAGCCAGGTATCCACACTTCTATGTATCTTACGTCATACATGTTCAGTACTATTTGGTACACACGTGTTCTCTCCAGTTGAAGATCTAACAGGTGATACTTCTGTAGTGATGACCCCCGAAGGGGTTGCTGGTAATTTTGGTTCCTTTTTCTCAGCTCCAGCAGCACCAACATTTCTACAACAGAGCAGAGAGGGTTGAGGGCGGCAGGACACCCAAAAGCACAAAATAGAGGACAATGTCTTCTCCAATAGCAACAGGTCCTACGACAGAGACCAAAAAGTAGCTAGAGTGCTAGAGAATTATAATTCTATATTATGGATGTCTGATGGCCAATCAGTGGGACTGAGAACCTTCTGAGGCATGCTGGGAGAACTATTACATATCTAGGACACTTCCAGGCCTTTGTCCTATGAGGAGGTCACCTCAGGGGTCAGTCTGTTTTAGGCCTTGAGACGTGGGAGGAGGCAGTGACTTCCCCTCCTGGGAGGAACCTGGAAAAGTGTTGCGTGCTGGAAGACAAGAACATATGACTTTGAGGAAACAAGCTGCTTCTGTCTACCACGTCTAGAGATGATGGGAGTGGTAGTATGTTAAACTCAATGAAAGTGACCAGCGGCCATGAATTCTGAACGACCAGAGAAAAGAACCGCGCCTGAGGTGAATGTTTCCAGGGACTTTATTGTATGTAAGTGGACTATGAACCATTCGTAATGTAGAGATAACTCTAATAAAGATCAGTACACAGAGCGCTGGAAGGAGTTTATTGGCACCATACGGTCTTATTGGTATGGGTGATAGAACCATTGGTGAGGATGCTGGTGAAAGAGATGTGAGGGGAGTGGAGATTGTGGGAAGTGATGGTAGATGTTTGAAGGTGATCGTATAAATGGATTGACGTTGTTGGTAAGGATGTGACAAGTTTGAGGTCATTGGTGGACATTTTTTGTATGGCGAGCGCTTTTGGGGTGAAGAGATGTTTTCGGTGAATGGAGAGGAAGAGAGCAGTGCCGGTGGAACGTATGTGTATGGGAAGTGTAAAAATTTGAGGAGTGATGTTTGATAGTGAGCTGCATAGGAGAGAAAGTCAGGAAGGGGTGGTGGTAAAGGCCCAAAAGGAAATACAATTCTGGCCTTTGAGGACCCTTTTAGGATGTACGATGAGATAGGCAGGTGGAGGTGTGGTGAGAAGATTGGGGTCTGCTCTTATCAGTTTCCGGAGGAGAACGTTGTCGTCCCTGGAGATGGCAGTCTAGTACCGTAGGCAGAACAGTGTCACCCTAGAACCGGTGGGCAGCGGTCTAGTAACCGCTGGGGCTCTGGGGGAGAACGGTGCTGTCTTTGGATCTGGGGATGGCAACATAGTATCCGATGGAGTAATGGAGTAACTGGGACCCTCCCAGTAAAAACAGGGGTTTTGGGTGGGGTAATTACTGCAAAAAAATATGCAAATTGCCCCCCGATATATATGCAAATCAGATTCAATTGAACTCTAGTGTCTCTCACTCCACTAGAGTCTCCCAAAGCCCAATGGAAAATGCTGGCCTCATGCAGAGATGTACCAAACCCATAGTGCTGTCCTGGCACCTCCAGGGAGTGCTTAGTACACGGTCTCGATCTTCAAAGTCTATGAGGTTGTAGCCTCCTTGGGATGATGGTTCTAGGGAAGAAGCACCACCCTGGGAGTAGTCTGCAGCCGTTCCAACCACAAGGCCAGAACAACGGCACGTTTCCACCCCCCTGGATGCTACACATGAGATGCAAAACCCTTAGAAGCTCTGACATTTCTTTCTATGAAAGTGTGGTGTGCAAAACCCTAAAGACCATAGAGAGCCAAAAAGACAAGTGCACTAGGGAGTGTCTCATAGTACATCTCCCTAAGACTTTCATGTCCACCTAGACAAAGACCAGAGGGTCTCATAGTACATCTCCCCCAAACAGTCATTTACACCCAGACAAACCCTTCCTCCTGGGTTAGTCAAAGCCAACCACTGAGTTGTGGGTTGGGGGCTCTCTACCTTCCCAGCCCTGAGCAGACCAGGTAAACCTGCTGAAAGCAGGAGGTGCTGAGACCCTCCGGGTCCCAAACACCTGAGAAGAACACGTAACATCCACTCCTATAAGAGTATAAGAGTGTAGATAGTTGGTTGGAGTTGGATTGGAGGAGTGTTCGGCGGGATGTATGATGAGATACGGAGTTGGAGGTGTGGTGAGAAGATTGGGCCAACGTACTCCTCCATGGCCTTATTCCCTGCAACAAAGGGACCCTGTCACAGGGAGAGACTGCACCAGGCTGCAATTCAATTTGGTCCTCCTCCGAAGAGGAAGGGCCTCGAAATTCCTGAACCCCCCGGGGCGCAAGGCTCCTGACGGGTAAGGACGACTCGGGTCCACCTACTTAAAGGCCGGCGGACCCCTCTCCTCAGGGGCTGATCCCATGAGTACTGGGGGAAGGGGAGTGAGACACCCCCAAGTAGGGGAAGGCAGAGAAGCCCATGAAGGCCACAGTACCTCCCTCTGAACATCAGAACGGGCCCCGAAGGTACCCGCACCCTCCGCCATCTGTGGAGTCAAAAGTGCAGTCGTACATAAATAAAAGGTGCCGGTGCACAAACGTGGCAGGCCAATCCGGCCAAGGTATAAAAATTCCCCCGGCTTAGCCAGAAGGCTGCCCATGAGGCGTGGTGCAGAAAATGCTTTAGGTGCCATGACCTGGTGCAGGTGAATCAAGTGGGGCCCTAAACCCAAGCTGTTTTTCCGGCTTCCCGGAAAAACAGGAAGCCGGGAGGAGGGTCATCACTCTCCACCCAGCTTCCTGAATGCCCAAGAAGCGGACTCCATGTTCCCCTACGGCACTGCCGGTCAGAGGACATTTTAGCTTAGTTAGGTAGAGGCCGTGGGTTGGCGGCCTGGGAACGGTCAACTCCACCATTTGTTTTAGGTTTTTTTGGGAGGGAAGTTCAATCTTGGTAACATGTTGGCAGAGACCTCACCAGGTTGGGTGGGTATGTTGCAGTCTTGGTTTAGGCCTTTACTGGGTTGCTGGGAAAATGCCAGTCAGAAGTCTGAGAGTCAGACACAGCAGGCGCTCGGCACTATGGGTTAGCCGAAGAGGGGCAGCCTGCTTTGAGGCTCCTTCTGTGTAATTGAAACCTCAGTGTGATCGGTTCTCATCCTCTTCAAGCTCAAGCATTGCCCCACGTGTCCTCTTCGGTGGTCCGGTTCCTGTCTTGTCCTGGGGTTGAGCGAAACCTAGTGTCATTTACCCACTTCCTGTAAGCCCGGGGTGTCAAGGACCCGCCCCCGAGGAGTGAGTCATCAAGCCACCCTAGAGAATGCTACAAACAGCTGTTCTCTGCATCACTGAGGACCCGCCCACCACCGGAGGAGGAAGAAGACCTGTGATGTCAAGTGAGCAGACCAAAGACTGCAGGAAAAAGATGGAGACAGATTTTATTTTAATAAATAAGGGGCAGAGCGGGGGAGGGGGGCATAACAGTTGGAAACGGAAGAGGGGGGTAGTTGGAGCGGGCACAGGAAGTTGTGTTGTGGCCAACGGCAGCTGGCAAACCTCCGGTAGAAGGTTCTGGTATGTAGACCTCTGCAGGTATCTATGGTAGATGTAGTTCTGGGGGAGAAACGCTTCCATTATGAAATCATGGAGCCAAATTTGCAGTTCTCATCTCCGTCAAGCCGGTGCGTCCCCCCTGTGCGTTTTTTGGTGCTGGACGTGGTCCGAGTTACTGACAAAGCATTTGCCGCACTTCTCGCAGGAGTACGGCCTCTCGCCGGTGTGAATCCGCACGTGCCGCACCAAGGCGGACTGGAAAGTGAATCGTTTCCCGCACGCACTGCAGGCGTAGGGTCTCTCCCCCGTGTGGATGCGCTGGTGCCGGACGAGGTCCGAGTTGCTGGTGAACCATTTTTCGCACTCATTGCAGGGGAAGGGCTTCTCGCCGGTGTGGACGCGGTGGTGGGACAGGAGGTGGGACTTGCAGGTGAAGCGTTTCCCGCATATTATGCACGAGAAGGGCTTTTCCCCTGTGTGCGTCTTCTCGTGTCTTGTCAGCCCCGACTTGACCCTGAAGCATTTCCCGCACGCCGAGCAGGCAAAAGCCTTTTCCCCAGTATGGATCTTCTGGTGCTTCATGAGGTCCGACTTATGGATGAACGATCGCTGGCACTCTGAGCACGAATACGGCTTCTCCCCCGAGTGAATCCTCTCATGAACTAGAAGGTTGGTGGCCGTGGTGAAGCATTTCCCACACACGGAGCATGCATACGGCTTCTCTCCGGTATGAGTCCGCTGGTGGATGACCAGCACTGACTTGTCGGTAAAGCTCTTCCCACAAACGGAGCAGAGGAACGCCAGGTGGCCGCTGTGCTTCCTCTGGTGCTTCACCATCTGCGACTTGCTGATGAAGCCTTTCCCACACTCCGAGCACGGATACGGTTTCTCCTGCGTGTGGCTCCTCTTGTGCTCTACCAGGTGTGAATTGGCGACGAAGCACTTTCCGCACTCGCCGCAGCTGTGCGGTTTTCGCCCCGTGTGGCTCATGACGTGGGCCGTCAGGTTGGACTTCCAGGCGAAGCGTCTTTCGCAGTACGTGCAGGAGAATGGCTTCTCCCCGGAGTGGACCTTCTGGTGGCGGCGGAGCAATCCTTTCTCTGCAAAGTTCTTCCCGCATAGGGGGCAGGAGAACGGTTTCTCTCCAGCAGGCGGTTTGCCGGACTCGCACAGCGGTTTATTTTTGGCGTGCATTTCCTGGTGTTTGAGGAAGCTGTCGCCATTCAGGAAGTACATGTGGCACTGGGAGCAGGTGCTGCTGCATGGAAGACCTTCATCCTTAATAATGAAAGAAGTATATTCAATGTGGTCCGTGGCTTCCTCCTTAAACTCGCCACACCGCATATGGCCTCCATGTGGAGACGGGTCGCAGTTGGGTTGAGGTTCCTCGTCACATGAGCTGGGTTCCTCCTTAATACTTGTAAGCGAATACGGTTCGGGTGTAGCATGATCTGTCCGTAGGAGGTCTCCTTCTCCACACGAGAGCGTCTCCTCTTTAACGGGGGTAGATGAATTGGGAATGTGGCTGGTTGGCTTGGAGAGCTGGAGATGGTCTTCTACTCCTGCATTCTTGGTCAACGTTCTTCTGTCTGGAGTGTGGCTGGTTGGCTTAGAGAGCTGGAGATGGTCTTCAGGTCCTTCATACATGGTCAATGTTCTTCTGTCTGGGGTATGGCTGGTTGGCTTGGAGAGTTGGTCATCTACTCCTTCAGACATGGTCAACGTTCTTCTGTCTTGAGTGTGGCTGGTTGGCTTATAGAGTTGGTCATCTAGTCCTTCATACATGGTTAACGTTCTTCTGTCTGGAGTGTGGCTGGTTGGTTTGGAGAGTTGGAGATGGTCTTCAGTTCCTCCATCCGTGGTCAATGTTCTTCTCTCTGGAGTGTAGCTGGTTGGCTTGGAGAGTTGGAAATGGTCTTCTACTCTTTCATACATTGTCAACGTTCTTCTTTCTGGAGTGTGGCGCATGTTTTTCTCCTGTGGTGAGCAGCTTTGAAATGATGAGGGACCGGTGTCTGTAAGATCTTCATTACCATGGTCTGGTGATGGAGAAATGTTGAGTTGAGATCCAGAGAGAAAATCTGTTGGAAACAGAGACATGGAGGTAAGAAGATTGGCACGGGGGGAACCTAGAGCCTAATAAAAGAAGACAAGGTAACAGGACGAGGGATGTCCCTATACATCAGGTTCCACCAGCTGACCATGTCATAGGGTGGAGGGGGCCAGATGGAACCTATGGCACGGGTAGGTTCAGCAGTAGTACCAACTGTATCATGAAACACCACAACTGGAATGTTGGGAAGACAGGAGAAGGAGAAAGCCGGCACTGGCTACTTCTGTCTCTCCAAAGCTGCAGCAGAAAGACCATTCATGATTAGAGAAGATATCGGTTCTATGTCCACAGGAAGCAGCAAGTCCACTTCCTCTTACCCGGAGATAGGCGGGGCTTCTGATAATCCATCATGGCGTCCTTGTCCAGACCCAAATCAACGGTCAGCAACTCAATAATCTCCTTTGTGATTTCTAGAATCTTCTTGGCGTTGTATCTCTCGGCCTTTAGAGAGGAAGGTGGAGCCTTCTTGTCCCATCTACCGGTGACCACCATGTTCTCCTTCACAGGTCTGAAATGCTGCAACATAATGGAGGTAACGCAATCAGTATCACAGAGAACCCTACCCCATATTCTCTGAAATATATCGTGTTATGTGACCTCCCAGAATCCTCCTCACACCTCCGGTCAGCTCTGTGTTTTATTAATAGAGATAAGAGCAATGTCATGTGACCTCCCAGAATCCTCCTCACCCCTCCGATCAGCTCTGTGTTTTATTAATAGAGATAAGAGCAATGTCATGTGACCTCCCAGAATCCTCCACACCTCTCCGGTCAGGTCTGTGTCTTATTAATAGAGATAAGAGTGATGTCATGTGACCTCCCAGAATCCTCCTCACCCCTCCGGTCAGCTCTGTGTTTTATTAATAGAGATCAGAGTGATGTCATGTGACCTCCGCAAATCCTCCTCACCTCTCCGGTCAACAGGTAGATGATCTCCAGGGTCAGGCTCAGTATCCTCTCAGTCACATGACCTCTCCGCTCATCCATGCTCGGTGACGCAGTCTATACCGAATCTTCTCTGTCAGTCTGGTAGTCAGGGCCTCCTCCTCACCTAAAACAAAGGTGAATGGACCGAATGCACAAACTTAATATAACTGACATTCTCTGCCAACTCGTCTATATGGAAGCCGGTCACTTCCTGTACAGCGGCAGGAAGAGGGTCAGGGTCCCAGGGGATTAGCAGAGGCACAACATTTTGATTACACAGGGTGGTGACTTGTATCCCTATAGCACCAATAACCACAGCGCCATCCAGTGATCAGTACACAGCACTGCAGCCACTGTACACATAGAGGTGAATTGTATCCCTATAGCACCAATAACCACAGCGCCATCCAGTGGTCAGTACACAGCACTGCAGCCACTATACACATAGGGGTGACTTGTATCTCTATAGATAAAGTGCTAAATGTGGAGCGCTAAAAGGTGATAATTAAGTAAAAAACTTGAAATCAGGTGTAATCAATATGACAACAAGTAATGTAATTATAAAGTGTTATAGTATCTCTATAGAACTGGTAACCACAGCACCATCTAGTGGCCAGTACACAGCACTGCCGGCACTATACACACAGAGGTGACTTGTATTCCTATAGCGCACAGCGCCATCTAGTGGTCAGTACACAGCACTGCCGGCACTATACACATAGAGGTGACTTGTATCTCTACAGTAATAAGCACCACAGGGCCTCTGCTGGTGACAATGCAGCACTGCAGACACATTGCACACTGAGCTGACATAAAATAATAAGCACCAGCGGTGCCTAGTGGTCAAATATCAACCCATGCAGCCGCATTACACAGTGAGGTCGATGGCATAATACAGACAATAGTGCCACAGCGACATCTGGTGGTCATAAGACGGCACTACAACTGTATACCAGGTAAGCACCTCGTACACTAATCCGCCCACCTCTGAGTTCCCCGTGGTCGAATGACAGCCCTCCCCCTTCCCCTATCAGTACACCACGTGCAAATCGTTATTTACCGCTGGCCACAGCGCACTTCAGTGTCCCCTCTCCTTTCTTCCCACGTAAAGGAAGTTCCAATGCATTTCCGGCCGCTGCGTTCCAAGCGGCTTCCTTGTTTTGCGTTCCAAGGGCCGGATGGCACTGTGAATTATCTTCCCTGCTGCCCTCGTTGTTAGTTCCGCCCTCGTAACAACCCCACGTTCATTCAGCACTGCTGTGACAGTTTTGTACAGTGGGGAGAATCCATGAAAACTGGAGCAGACAGTTTTCTTATTCCAACCAATCAGTTTGTTCAGCTAAGGAGGGTCTTCTTATATACTGTAGGGGTATAGGTGGTCAGCGAAGGGTCTTCTTATATACTGTAGGGGTATATGTGGTCAGTGGAGAAGGGTCTTCTTATGTAGGTGTAGAGGTGGTCAGTGGAGAAGGGTCTTCTTATATACTGTAGGTGTATAGGGGATCAGCAGAGAAGGAAGGGTCTTCTTATATACTGTAGGGGTATAGGTGGATAGTGGAGAAGGACCTTCTTATATACTGTAGGGGTATAGGTGGTCAGTGGAGAAGGGTCTTCTTATATACTGTAGAGTCACAGGTGGTCAGTGGAGAAGGGTCTTCTTATATACTGTAGGTGTATATGTGGTCAGTGGAGAAGGGTCTTCTTATGTAGGTGTAGAGGTGGTCAGTGGAGAAGGGTCTTCTTGTATACTGTAGGTGTATAGGTGGTCAGCGGAGAAGGGTCTTCTTATATACTGTAGGGGCATAGGTGGTCAGTGGAGAAGGGTCTTCTTATGTAGGTGTAGATAGGTGTAGAGGTGGTCAGTGGAGAAGGGTCTTCTTATATACTGTAGGTGTATAGGGGATCAGCAGAGAAGGAAGGGTCTTCTTATATACTGTAGGGGTATAGGTGGATAGTGGAGAAGGACCTTCTTATATACTGTAGGGGTATAGGTGGTCAGTGGAGAAGGGTCTTCTTATATACTGTAGAGTCACAGGTGGTCAGTGGAGAAGGGTCTTCTTATATACTGTAGGTGTATATGTGGTCAGTGGAGAAGGGTCTTCTTATGTAGGTGTAGAGGTGGTCAGTGGAGAAGGGTCTTCTTGTATACTGTAGGTGTATAGGTGGTCAGCGGAGAAGGGTCTTCTTATATACTGTAGGTGCATAGGTGGTCAGTGGAGAAGAGTCTTCTTATATACTGTAGGTGTATAGGTGGTCATTGGAGGAAGGTCTTCTTATATACTGTAGGGGTATAGGTGGTCAGTAGAGAAGGGTCTTCTTATATACTGTAGGTGTATATGTTGTCAGTGGAGAAGGGTCTTCTTATATACTGTAGGGGTATAGGGGGTCAGTGGAGAAGGGTCTTCTTATATACTGTAGGTGTATAGGTGGTCAGTGGAGGAAGGTCCTCTTATGTACTGTAGGGGTATAGGTGGTCAGTGGAGAAGGGTCTTCTTATATACTGTAGGGGTATAGGTGGTCAGTGGAGAAGGGTCTTCTTATATACTGTAGGTGTATAGGTGGTCAGCGGAGAAAGGTCTTCTTATATACTGTAGATGTATAGGTGGTCAGTGGAGAAGGACCTTCTTATATACTGTAGGTGTATAGGTGGTCAGTGGAGAAGGGTCCTCTTATATACTATAGGTGTATAGGTGGTCATTGGAGGAAGGTCTTCTTATATACTGTAGGGGTATAGGTGGTCAGTAGAGAAGGGTCTTCTTATATACTGTAGGTGTATATGTTGTCAGTGGAGAAGGGTCTTCTTATATACTGTAGGGGTATAGGGGGTCAGTGGAGAAGGGTCTTCTTATATACTGTAGGTGTATAGGTGGTCAGTGGAGGAAGGTCCTCTTATGTACTGTAGGGGTATAGGTGGTCAGTGGAGAAGGGTCTTCTTATATACTGTAGGGGTATAGGTGGTCAGTGGAGAAGGATACTGTAGGTGTATAGGTGGTCAGTGGAGGAGGGTCTTCTTATATACTGTAGGTGTATAGGTGGTCAGTGGAGGAGGGTCTTCTTAT